ACACGACCAGGCTTCGCAATGGCTCGGGCAGTTGCAGAGATCGGTGGGTTCGAGTGACGAGGCCGAGTGTAAACAACTTTTTTTTTTGAAGGGGAGGGGGAGGGGGGGGAGAGGGAGGTTGTTTGGGTTTTGGGTCTTTGGAGGGATGTTCTTAGGTGGGTGGGTTGTGGGGGTGGGGTTCTATTTGCAAATTTTGGGGAGGTTTTTGTTTGTGTGTGTGGTTTTGTTTACGTTTTGGGTGGATTTTGCCTGTTTTCTGTGGGGGGGAGGGGGTTGTTTATTCGTTTGTGGGGTCATCTGCACTTGTGGGTTTGTCGATTTTAGGGTTTTGTTAGTTTGTTTGTTTTATTTCAACAACTTTTGTGTGTATGTGCTCATTTGTTGTCTTAATTATTTGCTTTATTACATTTTCTGGCTTTATCAACCTTTTTCTTGTTTATCTTCTCATTTGTAGATTTATCAACTCATATGCTTCCTTTTCTTGGTTGTAAATCATGAGAAACTTGTTCTGGTAATGGTATTGGAGATATATGAGGAAAAACCTAAGTTTGACACGTTGATATACTCAGCCCAATGCCGCTGGATGTTTCCCAATACGAAAGCCCTCTCTCCCGGGTTGTATTCATAGTGGGGATCGTGTCGTCATCACAGTGTGTGCGGCATCACTATACATGCCCCTGGAAAAGGGGATCGGTGCACCATGTCTTGTATGCACATGCCACCTGGAATATAGTCCAGGCATGCCATAGCATGTACCATAGCATGTGCGTAAATACATGCCACCTGGCGGCAACAGTTTAAAAGAGGTTCAAACATATTTTTCATCTCCCTAAATATGTTGCAGTATTAAAAAGGTGATTCATAAAAACATCTTTTAACATATTTTAAGCTTGTCTGTTTTATTGTGTTGGTTTAGATGAGGTAAAGTTATTTGTGCTATGTTCCAAATTCACTTGAAATATTATTGAAGATGAGAATAACCTCCACACAGGTCTAGCACAAAAACAGAATTTTGTCAAGTGATCACGACAGCCTACATACTCTGGCAAAGGCCAATGAACCTGTATTGCGTATATTCTAGCCAGAACAGCCTAGTGTGATTACATATTTGATGATGAATGATGAGGGAGGTCAGTTAGGTTTGCCTTGTGAGAATACATCTGTCTAAGGTTTGTTTGACATTAGCAAAGCACCATAGGGTTTGTAGCAGTGTTGATCTTCAAAGTATGTGCCAGTCTATCATTTATTAGGTTGCTTTTTTTGTTTCTTCTGTGAATCTGTGTGCTGCAAATTGGGTTTATGATCAGCAGATATTATAAGCCATTGACAAAGATAAGAGAACCCATTGCTCATAATTAAATTGTGTGAACTTTCTATTCAAATCCATGTGAAATTATGTGGGGCCTGATGTAAAGCTTACAGTGGAAAGTGATTCATGTTTCCTCCCCATAGTACACGCTGGCAAAGGATGACAAATCCCTGTCATGTAAATTTGGGTGTGCTATAGCTTAGACTTGCTTTATCTTATCTTATTGGATGAAAAAAAGGGAAGATAGGTCTGCAAGCTATATCTTACATAAGTTAAGATAATGTCCACGAAGAACACATGGCATAATACTATTAGATGTTTAAGGTTGTCTGCAGAAAGTAAAGGTCCCAACACCAATGGCTTTCAAAGTCCCAAGTCCTATTGGTTGTGTAGCTAGGTCTAGTAAAGACAAACAACACTCCATAGTCTGCTAAGGTGGAGTATGCTACGTCCCTGATGATTGGATATTAAATAGGGAACTGGTCCAATTTTACGTGCAGAACCTAGGAGGGAGTGGTTTGTTGGCCTTTGCCAGTATGGATGGGGTGGGGTGGAGTGCATGGAACTGCTTTTTGTGATTCTATTCTAGACAGTTACCCTCAGTATTAATGGTTATACAAGATCTTGATATCCTCAAAATCTGCCATTTATGAGCTATAGTCTCATTACCTGGGAGGAGTATAAACGGTAAATGGGATAACAGGAGGAAGATTTTTAAGATACATGTGTAAATGAAAAACGTGTTACGTAGCCCATGAGCGTCAGAGATTCAAAATTTATGCTGTCACTATTGTTGTATCAGTGGTGTTTGTACATATATCTGGAAAGTATGAAAAGTTCACTGTAAAAAGTAATCAAAAGCTTTTTGTTTGTTTGTTTGTTAGCTGCTTGTCAGTTGGTGAAGTTGACACTTACCACTTGATTTATTGTAATCAGTTGGACCAACTCGTATGATATTGAAAGGACAAGTCAGATATTGGTAGCGTAAAAAAAACACTTTGGAATAGAGGGTAAATTCTCTATATTGTTTTCTATGTATATATATCTATTTTGGAGGAATACCAGATTTATTAGTTCAGACACTGTAGTCACATTCACAACAATAACATGAAAGCAGGAACCTATCCTTGCATCTATCCAGCCAGGAGGGAGAGGAGAGGGTCTGAGAGGGAGGAGGGGCAGTGGGTGGGG